AGGGACAAAAAGCACATCCTGCTTTTGCGGAGGACCCGAATTGGTTTCCCGGCACCCATGTTGGTCAGGTCATAACTGCCTGTAACTCCAGCTCTCGGTGATCTGATGCCCTCCGTCTTCTGCCCACCGAGAGCACTGTATTTACACTCACACATAGACATAAATAGGACGTTGTAAACAATATATCTTTTAAAAGTGCAGTTGCAGTGGTGAAGTGGCACAGTTGGTAGAATGCTTGCCCAACATGCTAGAAGCCCCAGACTGGCCATCAGCACCACATACATCAGATATGGTGATAGGCACCTGTAAGCCCAGCACGGTGCAAAGCAGGATAATGGAAGCAGGCAGATCATATGTTCAAAGGTTATCCTTAGCTACATAGTGAGTTCAAGGCCAACCTGACACCCTGTCTTAGAAAAACACCACACACACACACACACACACACACACACACACACACACACACACTACAATAAATAAAAATAATTGAGAAGAAATTTCAAGTCAAGGACCTACAAGTAAATTTTTCAGGACAAATGTATTAAAGATATAACAAGGAGGTATTAGCGCTCTAAAAAGCGTATCAAAATAGTCAGCTTTTCACAAATATAACCAAGGGGGGGACTAAACTATTAATACATATAGTATCAAGTTATCTTTCCATTTAAAGTTTTCTCTTTTTTAGAAAAAGCAATTTGCATTTTCTTAAGGAAGCTAGGATGCTGTCCTTAATATAAACCAATGCAAGCACACATTTATTAATGTGGACATGCTTATAATGTTTACTAATTATTATTTCTTTTCTAAAAAATGGCTATTTAAAAGATTGGAGCTATAATGTATCTGTAGCTTTTTTGTTGTTGTTTAGCTATAGTTTACATCTTGTTATTCTAATTCAATTTTATTTTAATTATGTGAGTATAACTTATTTGTGCTCTTTCTCCATATTTACTTCCTTATTAATTTTTCCTGTTTTAACACCTTTTAATGATTCACCCAGACAATATGTTCCATATATTGCCATCAATTTATCTTGTTTATTTTATTTATTTTAAAGTTTGTTACTCTTATTGAGCATGTGTGCAAGTAAAATGGGTGTGTGTGTCTGTGTGTGTGTGTGAGAGAGAGAGCTCTGTTTGGACACTTATATGGCACAGTATATGGGAGGAGATCAGAGGCCAACTCTATAGATTTAACTCTCTTTCCTTCCAGCTTTATGTGGCTTTGTTCTGGGGATTAAACTGAGCTCAACAAACTTCATAACAAGCACATTTATCCATTGAGCTACCTCAGTACCCCAAACTTTGATTTTTTTAAATCATAACTTTCAAATTTTCATGTTAGAAAGCATATGTGTCTTCATGAATATTAAAAAGCCTATTTTCATCTATGTAATTGATGATTTATCTATTTATTGCTATCCTTCTGATAGTATTTATACATATTTTCTTTGTTTGTTTCACATAAACATTTAGTTTGTATTTGTTCTCTATTTGCTTGACTCTGGATTAGATCAGATCCATCTAATAGGCTTACAACCACACAGCATATGCTGTATCCCTGTCATGACCTAGCTGGTCAAATCTTCTCTTGATGGTCCTGTTAGCTGAGACCCTGGTGTGGAAACTCCATCTTGAGACAGGGGAATATCTCTGTGTTCTAACTGATAGTTAATATATCCCCAAATTTGATTCAGAGTTTTAAAAATGGCATCTCCTTAATATGTGACTCTCTTCATCTTCCAATCTCTGCTACCATGTACATAATCTTCAGTGATAAAGCATGTTTCCTGTCCATCTTCCCTTTCCAGTTAGTCCTTGAGCATGAATAACAAAGCAGGAAAAGGTGGAAACATGAAGATGGTACTCATATACCCCAGAAATCAACACTTTCTATTGATACCCAATGTAATAAAGATAGTCCAAGTTTCTGCTGGAACTTGTTGACGAAGCTGAATATAATTTATCAAGAAATGTACAGACACTTTCTTGACATATGATGTATAGTACTCCATATTGGTTTCCTACTGGAACATTATCAACTGCGTATGAGTGGTAGAGGCTGCGATGTAGTTCAGTGGTAACAAACTTGTGTGTCAAAAGCAGAGAATGAATTTGATCCCTGATACTGAATGTGGTAGGTTTTAATGTAATTGTCCCCATGTGCTCAAAGGAATGGCACTATCGGGAGATGTGGCTTTGATAGAGTCAGAATGGTCTTGTTGGAGGGAGTGTGTCCCTGTGGGGTCAGCTTTGAGGTTTCTTACACTCAAGATATCACCTAGTGTCAAGTGCTTCCTGTTGCCCACAAGATGTAGTCAGCCCCATGTTTTCCTGGTCCCCACCATGTTCCCCATCATCGTCCCCACCATGACGTTAAAAGACTGAGTCTCTGAAATTGTAAGCCAGCCTCTTCAGTTTAATGTTTCCCTGATGAGAATCAATGTGGTCGTGGTGCCTCTTCACAGCACATAGAAACCCTAGCTAAGACACAACAGAAACAAACAAGTTAATTAAAATTAAGAGTAGCAATGAGAATACTGACATTCCGAGTGTTTGAGATTGTTACGTGATCTATTTTTCTGTGTAGATATTTTAACCAAAAGTTGGCTGAGTTTGACTAGTGGTTATGAACAGTTCATCACTTGTTATAGAACTCTAGAAAATTTTGATTTTTGAATGCTGAAATTGAGCATAAGGCCTTGGTCACATCAAAGACGGATTCTACTGTGGAACTACACCTTCACCTCTTAGAAATTCACTGTATTATTTTCTTAAACATTTTATTTTTTCTCTCTGTGAAAAAATGACCCTCCTGTAAATATTACAGATTATGAGAGAAAATATATATAAATGAATAATATAGTTAGTATAAAATATCAATATGCAATTTATAGTTAATATTTTATTGTCATTATCTAAGTCTTATAAATTACACCTGTATAATTTCATTTAAACATATTGTAATTTATTAGTTTGAGTCATTTAAGTGGAATAAATTTTTAATTATTTTAAAATGTATTCTAAGCTAGCACTTCTAAATATGTAATGCAGTCTTCACATGTTAAAACGATTTGGGCAGTGGAGATAATTTGTAATTAAATGCATTTAGCAGAACATGATCTACCATGTTTGATTAAATCATCAGAACATCTAGAGTAGCAGAGCTTTTCTCTGGAAAGAAAGGAGCCGATATGATTCTGTTGACAAACTCCTTTTAATCGTGCCCTGGTAGTGATTTTTCCCGAGTAATACCAGACTTCAGAAAAGGGGATTATTTTCATAACCCATGTGTAATTCAGAAATGTCTATGGCCACATAAAAACTGGCAAACGGGCCATAAAAATTGCATTATAGTCTTGGAAATCATCAAGGCCTGCTGAAGTGCTGGTGCGTGCTTTATGCTTTGTATGGGTTATTAGTGACCTTTCTGAACTTACAGGAAAATCCTTCATTTCATGTACATAGAAGCTATATTGCAGTAAGAATATCATCTTGAAAGTATATGACTATAGACATCCATAGTATAAGGCCAGGAGACTTTGTTGACTCTTAAATTGACTGTGAATCTCAAATAAGGAAAATTTAGAAAATAATGGAAGCACAATACAGATTATGGGGCAGCACTGAAGAGTAGCAAGCTCCATGGACCTTTGAGTACTAACAAGGGTCTTGATTTTGCCTATGTCTGTTAACATCTATATCTTTCAGTGATGTTCAATTTCAGTTTGCAAAACAGACATAATGAATGAACAGAAAGATGTCAAACATGTTCTATTCTTTGTTTTTACAAACTTATTCAGAGCATGTATACAGACCTACCAACGACTTTGTGTTCTATATTTAAGAATGTCGAAATCCCAGTTTCTGTACCAAATCTAGACTAGAGCTAACTTTAGTACTATTAACTATATTGTCTCTTTCTATATTTTCAAAATTAATGCTCTATTCATTAGAAAGTGTCATTTAGTCACCAATTTTATACTCATTTATTTTAATTTTGTATTTGTTTGATTTATAGCAGATGACGCATGATTGAAGTTCATTCAACTTGCTAAGTGAAGGATGTTGAAATAGATAAAAGTTCAGGATCCATGGGAATTTCCCGGACAGCTCAAACTGCATGATGCTTTAGTTGCCTGAAGAATTCCTCTGTAGAAAGGGTGAATTGAAGGAAGGAGTGTTGGTCATCTATCTCTGTCTCAGAGTAACAGTCACTGGGAGAGGGAAGAGCGTCTAATCCACTCACTGTAAACCATGAGTTCCTTATTTTGGTTGGATCATTCAAAAGAATAAGTTTGCTTTGGTGTACAATTACTTGATACTGCCTTGTCGTAAACTTGATAACAATAACTATTATTGTATTTTGAAGAATATGAAAACTTGACATATATATATATACATATATATATATAAAATGCAGTGTTCCTTAGGCACCAAGAACTTTGCTTACAATCAAATTTTACACCAAAATTCTTTAAAAGTCTAAAGTAAAACCTTAATTCCCATGCGATACAAGGAATCATGTGATCGTCTGTGTGAATTCTTTGGTCATTTCCACATCCCCAGGCACATAATATAAAGGAAATGTGTCACTGCTTTGTCCTAAATGCTGCTTGATCCAGTGTGGAAAAATGATTGTTTTGGATTCATTGAATTAAGTAATACCCACTCAAAAAGGACACTCAGGTTTACCTTTCATCTACTTTACATTTTTAGTACACTTACTATTAAAATATTTCTAGAATTCAGGGTCTTCTCAGCTTTGGTTTTCTAAGCTGTAATAAGTAGCCTTGAGACCCCTGAAGGCACAGCCCGCACACTTATGTTGTGTGACCTCAGGTCACAAGTAATGGCTGCAAGCTAATTGATTGAGAAAGGCTTGTCTGGCCAGGCCCCTTTGCGTCCTCCCTGTACATTCCGAAGTTCTGCGAAAGAGGCACTCGCCGCTCAGCCATGCAAGGCAGGAAAACAGAGGAAGTTTCTGCATTCTGATTACAGCCTGAGTTCCCTGTAGTGAGCTTGCTTCTCTCCACCCACTTCTCACCAAAGCACTCCTTAACTTGAGGGTGGACGATTTAAAGCTAGATCCCAGCGCCTCACCTGCAGAGTGGTCTGTGTATTCATTGAACTAAAAGGCCTGATCACCTACGTGAGGCGGTGGGAACCATATGGAAATTATATCAGAACTTCAGCAAAGGGCACAGCCACAGCCCGCAGAAGCCAGCGTTCAGACTGACAGGCAAATGAACCAGCTTGTGGACGGGGCCTCTGGGTGTCAGCTCTGGCCGTTTGGTTGTTGGACAGCTATGGTCAGAACTGAAATGGAACACGAGACAGGAGAAAAACACACTTTTACTCTGCGCAACTGTTGCTTTCACATGGTGAGTGCAGATGCGAGATGTTACTCAAATATTCTTTCTGGGTTGTAATACAAACTAAGAAATTTGTTATGCTTTGGGGGGAGAAAAAGGCCAGCAGGGATATTTAAAAATGCTGAAGTTATGTGGCTATGTCTCTCCTTGATTTCACACGATCTTTGCAGTCTGAAAAGAGAACTACAGTGCGTGTATTGTCCTGTTTGTCCTTTATCGTCCAGGTTTCCTTTTGTCTAGGTCGTGCCTTTCTGCGATCAGAGTCAATATTGATTTAGGGAAATCATGTGTGGCAGGGATGAGGAAGCAACACGAGACAGGATTTTCTAAACATTTTCTTTAGTCCAACTTCTGCGGCACTCGGCTATGTCTGTGTTTCTGGGGCCTCATCTCAGGCACATGCAGCACAGACCTTTGGAAAGAGCTTTGTGTGAACATTCCTGGCCAGGGGAAGGGTCAGGACCCATGCTTAGATGACTGCTAGTCAGCAAGGCTTGTTGGTGCGCCCTCTGATTTTTAACGTAATAGGAAAGAAAGTATGTCTTTACACATTGAAAAGTCAGGGTGCTTTGATTTCTCCAGTACCCTCCCGTGGTTTCTGTGTTTTATTCCTGGGAAGGATTCTGTAAAAGTCCTTTGAGCAGCAGCATGTAAACTTCTTTTGTTCCCGTTGATCGTATTTGCTCACGTTGTGTGGTGGAAACTTTGCACATTTCATTATGAAGAATGTTTTTGGAATAATGTTTAGGAGTTTTTGTTTCAGTGAAAATACTTTGGAAGCTAGTAAGCTCATGTTTTCTACAATTTAGCCTCCCAAGCAAAACAAAAACCTCAGAGTAGAGTTGTGATTAATCATAAAATAAATCCTATTTTAAATGTGGTGTTTTTTTTTTCTGTTGTTCAAAGAAAATCTGAGCCTGCAAACACACTCAGAAATGTGAGCAGGGGAGACCTAACTTTTTCATTCCAAAGCTCCAAGTTCAAAATTACATTTGTTGTAAGTGCTAAAATATAATTGCTGTTGTTCACCTCAGTAGAAAATCAGTTTTTACTACCTAAGTATTTGTAATTGATTTCATCAAAAAAGATGAAGTGGAGAATATATCATCAATTTCCTGATTTGATAAAGGCCTCAGGTCTTGCTTCATGCTCATTTAAACCTTTTACAGAGTGGAGAGGTAATGCAATTTTGTCTGCTTGTTTTCAGCAGAGAATTTACATGGGGACAGGTTCCTTTCTGAAGCTCTCTGCTTTCTGTTTGCTAAAGGAAATTCATAAACTAAAAGTAGTCAGTGTGAAGCTACAGACCTGCCATAAGGGAAGAAAACCACGAAAGGCTATCAGAATGTGATTTCAGTTACAAGGTAATTTTGCAGCATTACTTAGCTACACTTGTGCACATGCGTTATGGCAGCCTATTAACTCATGGCATAGCTGAGTCCTAGTCTGGCATTGTGTACAGAGATTATGCACAAGAAAGACAAGTTAGTTCTGTGAGGTGACCTGAGCTGCGTTATCAAAGCAAAATGTGGCAGACACATTCTTTCCTGAGATAAGTAAGTTCATTATGTCCTTGCCACCTGTTACATTCACTCTTTCATCCCTGTGGTCATAATTCCTGTTTGCTCTTGCAACTTGAAAGGGAAACCTTCTGTCTTTGTTTTTTTTAAGAGGGAAAAGTAATAATTTTCATTTCAATGTTTTGAAAAATGCACCCAAAGCACCTGAAATATATTACATAAGGCTTTTTGTTAAGTCAATGTGAATACCAAGAAATGTGCATTGTTTCTGAAAGCCTTGAATGTATATCAATCAGTAAATACAGTGAAAGTGCTTCCAAGAATTTATGAAAAAGATAGGTATTTTGAAGTTCCTGATTGGAAAATAATATCCTTCTTATTATTCCATCCAAACTAATTCAAAATCTAGACCTACAAGGCAACTGCCTTATTTTCAACAGAGCTCAGGAAGTCAGCATGCTACAGGGAGGGGCAGCAAAAGAATGGGATTCCCTTTAGAAGTCCGAGTTGCAGGGAACAAAAGGTAGAAAGAGCTGCTTAGCTTCTAAACATTTAATCCTAAATTACTATCTTTTATAATTGCTGGTCTATTTACTTACTGATGGGTGGTAGATAATGTTTTTGTAAAAAAAATTGAAATCAACTATAGTATCAATTTAACTTTATACTTTTAAGAAGGTGTATATCTTTTTACAAAATGTTAATCTTCCCTTGATGTTCATAGTGTTTTTCTTCAACCAGTAGAAAACAGTAGATGCATGGTCACTAATCATATTTTTTATTTATATAGAGAGCATACACATTTGTATTCCCTGAAAACATATTCATGTCTTGTGCATATGGATTTAATATCTTAAAGCAACATCCACACTCCCAGGGCCATGGTTAATTTACTTTTGTGGAGATTGGAATGTGCACAAGAATGCACAACATGTAAGTACAGTAAATAAAAAAATATCTTTTGATACCGCTAAGTGTAAAACAGGGAGATGATACTTTTCCAAGAATCTGAAGGGTGATGCAAGGAACTTGTTGCAGAATGTATCACAAGAGGAAGGTCATCTCTTGTCAGGGATACTTTTCCCATGTTGGTGATTAACTGTTCTAGACACTGAAGCAGAGTGTGTTTCTCAGCATGTTTGAACTCTTGAGTTCACATAGAGGGTTCACAGTGAACTGGAATTACTAGCCTCTGTGATCTTCTTAAATCTTATGCCCAGAAAATTTCAGGTTCCTTATTGACGCTTGTAAGAGTAGAGATTCTTAACCATGAACCTGATCTGCTCTAATAAAAGAAAAAAAAGTTATGCATCACTGTACTTGTTTTTCAGTTGGCCTGGGGAATTTATTTTAAAGATGATTCATTCCATCCATATGGCAGATTCTCACAAGGCTTTCCCAAAGAATAGCAGTGTTTATTGTTTTCTTTACACAAAAAATGAGCTGCTCCGGGAGTTTTCACCTTTGTCAATCCTTTTGTATTGACTTTGGGACTCTTGTCTTTTTATAAGCAATAGAAAACTTGGAAAAAAAAAAAAGAAAACTTGGGGATTTTCTATTTAAACATTCTTCCTAATATTAACTTCACTTTTCTTGGACAATTCTCAGTTATATCACCTTTAGTCTTCCATCACCAAAACTGGCACTAAATATTGTTCACGTTAAACAAACGTGGCAATCCGGCAAAGCTCAATTGTTTTGAAATTATTTAGTTTCTTGTCGTTCAAGCCAGACTTCAGTTAGTTTGTAGTTTATAGTTTGGTTGTTTTTTTCTTGTTTTTGAGCATCATGTCATCATGTTAATTTTATGTTATCTCTTTGAGAATTTATTTGCTAATGTGGTATATTGGAAGATAAGGAAAAGGGTTCATGTCCTGCCATCTTGACAAGATTTTCCTAACTCGTGGTCTCTGGAATCAGAGCATGAGTTCAAATTCTCACTCTCACCAATAGATGGTGTCACTTTAGGCAAAGCCTTGTAAGTATTAAAGCCTCTATTTGTACAAATGAGAAGTATCAGCAGAACCGCTTATCTCATGGGGATGTTGTGAGCATTGACCCCGGAATTCATTACTCCTGTGCTTGGCCATACTAGCCATGCACATTTGAGTAGGGAAAAGCAGCAAAAACAAAACAAAACCTAGTGTTACCTACTATATAATGAACCGCTGGCTGGCAGAGCACCAAACTGGTTTCACTCTTGTATTCTGCTTGAGTACATACCAATATTTTGGATATCTATAGACATTTCCATTGACAAAAGACAAGAACCCCAGGTTCCTTGTGAAACGTCTGTTGTTTGTACATACCGTTCCACTATTACTCATGTACCGTCGTCAGTGTAAGTCGGTGTAAGCCAGAAAACCTCTGTAATACTCTTTCAGAGTAACTTCATTTAACCTCCCTCTCTGTATATACGTGTGTGTGTGTGTGTGTGTGTGTGCGTGTGTGTGTGTGTGTGCGTGTGTATACGCATACCTGCATATGCATACATAGGAAACTTCTACAGTAGTAGATTTCTATACGACTTTTTCAAAGTCATTCAGTATTATATTTTTTAATGATTCCTCTCCTACCCTGATATTACATCCTCCATCCCATTTAACACTTACTGTTCAATTCTTTCATTTCTCCCTTCATACAGCTGTTTTATATTCCTTTTCTTTAAAATCACCTCCATGTGGCCCCCTATTAGTTTTAAATTTAAAGACATACAATAATACAAATCTAGCCATCACATATTAAAAAGAATGTAAAACGTGTATTTTAGCATGTGAGGTACTTCACTCAGAGCAATTATTTCTAGTACTGTTGAAACTGTGCATGGCATCATTTCACTAGTCCTGAAAGCATGCATGTATTACATTTTCTTTTTCCTTTCATTAGTTGATGGACAGTTAGATATCTATAGACATTTCTACTGTTTCCATTTTATGGATATTGTGAAAACAGTAAAGACAAATATGAATGGTCCACTATCTCTGTAACAGTGTAAAGCTGATAAAGAATTTTTCCCAATTTATAGACTGCCTCTTCACTCAATGATGGTGTCATTTGCTATACAGAAAATTTTTAGTTTAATTGAGTCTTATTGGTTGTTAACCTTAGTGCCTGTACTTCCAGGGTCCTGTTCAGAAACTCTTTTCTTTTACCTTTAAGTTAAAACGTATGTCCTACTTCACCTTGTCTGTCAGGGTCCGGTGCTAGCCCGGACCTTAAATTATTTCTGTCGACCAGACGCCAACATAAACTATCTATCTCTATAGTGCTGAAATAAAGGCACAACTCACATGGTTTTACTGGGAGGAAGATTCTCAGTGGTCCCTCATGAGTCCCGAGTTCATATCCTGAAGAATTCCTCTTGTTTATTCCCCAAACATCTTTTATTCCAAAACATAAGCTGAGGGGGAAATACACCAACATTCTGTCTCCAGGTAATCAAGTGAATGACTTTTAGTCTTGTCCACAACAACCTGTGTGCTCTGTATG